ATGTCGCCGCCGACATGGATCTTCTGAATAGTTCCTTCGGCACGGAGGAACAACAATCTCAAGGTGGAGAATCCACGTGGGAGCGAAAAGTCCGAGGTGAGAATCCGGTAGTGTGTCGGCACCTGCTGCCCCCTGGTCAAGTTTGTGGGGTGTGTTGATAATCCGCCATGATGAAGTGGGCGGATCGCGATCTGCCGCCAACATGCCTGTATAAGTTTCAGATATAGAACAGACGCCCTTTTGGATGCGGTTCACATTTCGGAGGCAATGAGTCGGCTCGTTATTCATGGTCTTGGCGCGCAATACAATATTGTAGCCTAGAAAGAGATGTCTGAGGCGGTTGCCGCTCCTAGTAACGACCTTGTGTGAGGTCCAAATCATATCTCTATGTTTGGGCGGAGTGAAGTCCTAGAACTCGTTCGCGGTCTGGGATTGCACCTCCATGGCTGTATGCAGTACCGAGCTCGCACAGCCGCATTGGCAATTGTTCAAAAGGGTGGTTCAGAGTGTATTCGGACTACTGTCAGAGGCACGGTATCGAGCCCACTTGTAGTCTGTTCAGAATATTTTACATAATGAAGCAGCCGACGAAGAAGAGTAAAAACAATTATTATCTGTTGAAGCGGCGGGACAAGCGACCAGATGGCTACGTGTACGGGTCTCCGAAGTTGAACAAAAACATGTTCAAGAAGCTTTTCTACGTGAAGCCAACGCCTGCTGAATGGGATATTGAATTTTTCCCCGAGCTGACGGTTTGGGCGAATGGCAGTATTAAGGGATTCGAGTTGGATGTCGGTGGCTCAGCGCGTATGAGGGCTTGAACGCAAAATATGCGACTCTGCTGTAGGATAAAATCTACCTCTATAATAGCAGAGTCTGCGCCCCTCTTTTGGCAGAGTTATTTGCGAATGGTTAGTTGACTCTATTTTTTCTTGTATTTCGTCGTATTAATGGCACTTTTACGATTCTTTGTTGCAGGGTTTGACTATTTTTCCATCGTGAGTATGATGAGCACAAACGACATTCCAAACATCCCAAAGGGTCATCGTGCCGACAAGAAGCGAAAAGAGGTGGATCGTCCCACCCAAACTGAGAAAGCGACCAAGGCTCCTTACGTGGCTGAGCAGCCGACGAAGAACACTAGCGAGAAGGTTCCCAAAGTGGTGGAACCGCGGGCAGGCAAGCCACCTCGCGCAGAAAGGGCCACAGGGAGCTCCTCCAGTCACGTGGTCCAGTAGGTTTTGTCTGACATGCCCGGATTTGCAGTTATTACCCTGACTCAATTCCCGGATGTGTGCCTCTATTCCGGTGGTGCTGCTTCCCTTGTCATAGCGCAAAGTGCGCTCCGGGCTGTGGGATTTGCTTTGACCGTTCCTACTAGGATGGAGAAGAGCAAACTGCTCCACGATCTTGCCCAAGTCCACTTTGTTGTCAGTGTGCTCGACATTTGCACCTTCTAAAGATATTGTTGTGTTGTTATCTCTCTCTTTTTCATTTTTCTTTTTAGTTAAAGGCATTAAGCGGGGTCATTTGATGCAGGTTATACTGGCTACTTTCAGCGCTCAACAGGAGAGGGTGAGCGCAAGTAATCTCCTTAAGGCGGAGATGAATAAGGTTTCCCAGCTTGAGGGCAAGTTTCATGGTGCCGAAGGTCGTGCAGAGGCTTCCACGAAAAAGGCAAATGATGTCTTCAGTCCAACTAGGTATATTGCAGAGCCAACTTAGTGACGCTCTTCAAGCAGAGAAGGAGAAAACGCGAGCTGGGGAGTGTGACTCGGTCCGAGCGGAGGCGAGGAAGGAGGCGGAGGAAAAGTTGCAGAAGCTTACAGACAGTCACGCCGCAGGGAAGAATTGCTTGGAAGTGGATCATGCAGAGATGCTCAAGAACCTGCGCGCAGACTTCACGCAGAAAAAAGAGGATCTCATATAACGACATGATCAATAAAAGGCGAAAGCCATTTGCGCGGCGCAGGTCAACGTCGTCCACTCTAATAAGAGTTCGGTCGAGTTCCACAAGGTGCTCGCGGACTCTATGACGAAGGCCCCGTTGCTGTTCTCAAGAAGGTCCGACCAGAGAATATGAGCATGTGCTGGAATATGCCCGCCATGATCAAACACGTTAAGTGGTAGATGGATATGGACACTGAATAAAAAGACTGAAGACCACGCGGAAGGCGTGACGAGTACAGCGGAAAAGGATGTTATTGATGATTTGATATTTGCGAGTGTAATCACGTTTGTCCTTTATAGTTTTCTTTCATCACTTTAATGAAGTCGCCTTCGCGTTCTTTTTTATATTATTTGCGCAATTCTTGGTTTCCGCGATTTCATTATGACTGATTTGTCCTATGTAATTACTTGTGCACTTTAGTTAGTCGCGTATACATTTCGTGACATTTCTTTGGCTTAGCTCACCATTGTCATTGAAATTTACATGTGCGGGGCAACCGCGTACTTTCGTGCCCATTGGTATTATATTGTGGGAGTGTACTTTCTCAAATTCTGAGCGTTCCACGTCCTAGGAATTTTGGTTCCATCCAACTCTTGCAATTTGAATGTATTGGCGGTGATCACTTACCTTACTAAGTATGGCCCCTCCCATGTTGCTGCAAGTTTACCGTGTCTTTGGTTAGGGCGAAAGTTCTGCTTTAGTAATTGGTCTCCTAGTTTTAGATGGTGTGGGATGAGTTTTGCGTTGTAGTACTTCATCACTTGTGTCTTTGACTCCACGAGTTTGATGGCCGCTAGTTCACAATGCTCGTCCGTGAGTTCCAAATCCGCCAGGCATGACGCGTCGTTGCTTGCCTCGTCGAATGTCGTGATTCAAGATGTAGGCTTTGATATCTCGATGGGTATAGCCGCGCATGTGCAGCATGTCAGTGCGAATAGGGTTTCACCGGTTGCCTCTTTAAACGTTCTCCGGAGTGCCCAGACCACGGTGTGTAGTTCTTCCGCTAGTTGCCCTTAGCGTTGTTGAGGCGAGTGTGGAGACCATGTAAGATTGCTTTGTTGGCTGATTCCGCTTGACCGTTCGCTTGAGGGTATGCAACTGAGGCGAACCGCGCTATCAACCCTACTTGGTCGTAGAAGTCGATCACTTCCGCGCAATGTGGTTGAAGATTAATGAGTGTGGAACCCCAAACCGCGTTAAGATGCTCTGTTTTAAGAAGCATGTAACTTGTTGGGCGGTGATAGATGCCAACGCCTCGGCTTCAATCCATTTGGCGAAGTAATAAACTGCCACTATGATATATTTTCGCTTTCCCTTTGCAGTAGGAAAGGGTTCAAAGAGGTCCACTCTTCATTGTGCGAATGGGCATGGGCTCAAATTGCATTGAAGCTCAGTAGTGGATAAGTTGTGTTTCTGCACGTTGACTTGGCATTGATCAACGAACTTTTATCCGTCCTTCTTTATTCTAGGCCAATAATACCCATGGAGTAGGATCGTACGCTCCAAACTTCCTCGTGTAAATCTTTCACAATTCTGCGGGCTTCTTCTGCCCCTAGGCATTTTAGATAGACACTAGAGTGTGAGCATCGGATGCAAGGCTTTCCTGATCAACGTGCATCGAGAAGCCTTCTGCCTTAACTCCATGCTTCTTTCAAGTCATCGGGGACGACATCTCTGTTTAAGTACCTGGCGATCGATGCACGCCAATCTTTTGCTCGCTTTCCGTGGCATTGACTTGCATAGGTTGCTGATTCTCCATGTCTTCTTTCTGCACGGACACCAAGCGTGTTTCTTCGAAATCGATGGCGGTTGCCAACTTTGACAATGCATCCGCATGAATATTCTCCTCCCGAGGTATTTGGATGTAGGTCACCGACGTAAACTGTGCAGCACCTTGCTTCATTTTATCCATGTATTACGTTAGTGTCTCCTTTTTCGCGTCGAAGGTGCCATTTAACTAGTTTACCTCCAGTGCTGAGTCCGACAACACTCACACTATCTGTGCTCCCAGGTCCTTCTCTGGCGCCAGTTCGACGAGGATTGCTTCCATTTGGTTTAAGGGTGGAGCACCCATAGCACCCTCATGTTCACCAAAAAATATTATTTGATAAGTTAAAATATCCAAACCAACCCTAAACATTCTTTGCACAAACTCCTAGACTCCATTTGCACTTTTGGGGTCTTGCTTTTAAAATCTCTAGTTCAAGCGATAGGGGAATGCCTAGTCTCCGCCCCGTCTAGGCCAGCCGGTTAATCCACATTAGGGATGGCAACAAAACCCGAACCTACGGGTACCCACCCGACCCAACCCGGTCAACGCGGGTAAAATCCGTGTTGACGAGTTTTGGGCCGGGTTTGGGTTTAAACCCGTTCACTATTCACTGGGTTGGGTTGGATTTGAGTTTAGATAAACCCGGCCCATGGGTACCCGCCCACCCATATAATTAATTTTTTCGGTATATTTAATATTCTAAACAACTAATCTTATTTATGTTTGTGGAGACATGTCTAATATTTTCTTTTTAATTGTGTAGAATGAAGTTGATGTTATGGAGTGGAGAGTAAAGAAACTTAATTGAAAGGAAGAAGCTTTCAATTAAACATGTTATTTATGGATAATTTGTGATTTGCTTCAATTTTCTTGAGTTTTCTAGATTGGTGTTGAACGATTTGTATAGATAATTTGTGATTTGCTTGAATTTTCTAGAATGGTGTTTTATATATGGATAATATGTATTAAGAGATTGATATTTGACTTTAATTTTGATAAGAATTTGTAATTGTAAATTTTTTACGACAAAACCCGTGGGTACCCATGAACCCGCGGATACCCAATGGGTTGGGTTGGATTTGAGTTTTTTAAACCCAGCGGGTTTTACCCCGGATTTTTTTCAAAGATAAACCCATGGGTTTGGGTTTGGCAAAACCCGACCCATTGCCGTCCCTAATCCACATTGTCAGTTGCTGGAATTACAACCAGAAAGAGCAAGTGAAGGGCAATTATTAGCACTTAGCAAGATTCTGGAACAAAAAATTATGAGTGACGAATCGCTAGAAGGACAAAAACAGTAGCAGCAAGCAAGAAAGACAAATACAGCATCAGCTAGGTCCCAAATGATCCCAGATCTAAGCTGAAATTTAACGCGGGAAACACCCAATACAGTTATTAGAGTAGTAACTCAGAGGAGCACAGCAGAAGAATCATAAAGACAGCTTCCTGTTTCCCGTGCTGTCAACAAACTTACCAAAGTATGTAAAGACAGTTTATATATTTTTTTTTCGTCGAATAAGACAGTTTGTATATACTAGTGTCTAGGAACAAAATGGCCAACTTTGGCAATCAGGTACAAACTGTATACAAAGTGAAACGACGATATTCAGTCCCTTTAAGGTATTTCTCCAGAACAAAATATATGAGAGCACTTTACCGTTCAAATTGATGGCTGTAGTCGCTACTTCGAATCAATAGCCACCCTGATGAAGTGGGGACATACCAATTCCTAGCCCAGTCCAGGTGGTGGCACAGGGTGCACCAATGTTTCTCGATTCCCGACAAGGCTTACACCATGGGACATCTCTGCACTGGGGGTGGATGGGGTACTTGACACTACCTTGATCGGGTATACTTCTGTGACTTCTTCAGTTCCTTCATCCAAGTACACTACATCCTGCATAGTAAGCTGGTGATACTCCACTACTTCCCTTAGGAATCGGTTTTCGCGAGCAAAAACTGAATTCTCGTGCGCCAACCGCGCCTTCTCTGCTAGTAGTGTCTCAAGTTGAAGCCGAATCTGGTGGGGAGAAGTCATAATAGTTAATCCTAATTCATCAGGAGTTCATGATAAATGTGTCCAGCATGTACCATACCATAACTTAACAACAATCACATATTAATAATTAATATACAAAGTGATCGTCATGCATAACAATGGCACAATTCCTGATACAACAAATCAAGGAAACATCGCAAAAGAAAAAAAAGAAGCGGCACAATTAATATCTGTAGATTGGATATGAGTCATAAGGCTAAAGTTGCAGAACTGCTTGAAGGCTGCGGTTCCAGAGTTTTTATATCTAGCAAGGAGGTCAAATTGGATGAACTAGTAAGGTTCGAACCTTGAATAAAGCTAGACAATCTCCTCCACTAGATCTGGTCATTTCTGCGGCTTTAGAAAAAACCTGACCCTCTTATATATTGAAGATAAACCAACTTCTCAGCAAACTAGTTAAAATTGCAATCAAGTTCATAAGATCTTAAGATTTTATGAGTTTACCTCGGTTATGATCTTGATTTCACCAAAAAGTCGAGACATAAGATCGACTTGAATTGCAATTTAAGTCTATAAGATCCTTAATATGGAGCTATTTTACAGATCCCATTGGGAGCACAAAACAAGGTACATCGGGTTTTATCAAGTTATCAACCCTGAAAGGTCATTCTCCAAATGACTATCTTACTTCTGTCAAAGAATGGAATTTCCTTTCCAAGTATCCTCTCTATTTTTCTAAATCAGTAAAACTTCCTAAACAAAGCTTGTGTCTTGTTCTGTTGGAGGTTTTAAGTAATTCAAGAACATATATTTTCATCGTTATTTACGTCAATTTTGTTACCCAAGTTATTTAAGCATAAATTATAACATGGTCCATACACTATTACAACCTTATGAATCTATTTTATGGGTCTTATTATTTTCGATTTTACGTAAAACTGCATTGCTTCTCAGACATTGTAGCTCTCAGTGGAGATCTCCAAATTCTTACAAAAATTGACTTGATATATCAGCAATTGGAATGCAGCCTGCAGTGGCCTTGTGCCAATTACCACGGAAAACTTGAGCAAAAGGTCATCAAGCAATAGCAAGGAATTTTTCAGTATGAAATTTCAGTCATTAACAGACATGGTGTGAATCTAATAGTACTACACAGGGCAGTCTCTTACGAGTTATTCCAGACAAGCTTTGGAATAGTGCTCAAAATTCGATAATTTTTTTATTCAATTTTTTCATAGTATCCCGACACCTACATTCACCAAGCTAAGCTTCCTGCTGCAAGCTACAACGGATGAGGACGCAAAGCTAAAATGTTCACCGAGCAAGTGAGGGAGTAATTAGCTTAGTCTCCTTGGATGATAAACAAGTTCCACAGTTTAAGGCAGGATCTTCTAGATTATGTTTTTCTAAGTTCTAGGCTTCTGGCAATGAAATAATTATATTGTAGAAGAGCTAATTGGTTGTTTGGATCAGGTATTTAGGTGTGTTATTTGAGGTCGAATACCACAAAATGTGGTATTTGGCCCCAAGTAACCTGTTTGGCTAGGTAAAAAAGATGTGGCATTTGGCACGTGGTATTCTCCAAATACCACAAGAATACCACAAACCTTTAAATTGACAAATACTAGGGGGAGGGGCTTGTATTCTCAAAATAACAGGTCATTGTCTTTTTTATCCAATTATGTCCTCATTTTTCTTTTAATACTGCAAAACTACCCTCTACTAATCCCACCTTTTTTTACCCAATTAGCTTCTTTTTTTCTCTTTCTTTCCACTTTACCCATAACCATTATTTGCTTGTCCCTCTTACATTAAATATGCCTAACACTAACAAAGACTCAATATGTAATAACCATCATAGTTAGCACTTATCAAAAATCCATTAGAATGGGTTTAAAGCTTTCATGTCTAATTTTTTTCATTGTTTGTTGCTTCCCGCATAAAACACGTATACTATGTTAAATTTCAAAATTTTAATATTTTATAACTAATACGAATCTTTTAATGTATAAAATTCACACGTATTAATACTGTAACATATGCATTTATACCAAGCATCTCACTAAAATGAAAATTACAACCTTAGCTTGCTCACTAAACTGACAATTACAAGCTCTCACTAAAAAAATCCCACTTGATGGAAAAGCGAGAAAGATATGGGGTTAAGAAAGACATATTAATACAATAACAAATTTGAGTGTAAATACCATATCACTAATAATCTAATATCACTATTTATAATTCATTCAAATGTGATATTTCGTACAAATACCACAACAAATAATAAATATTGCGCTATGTTGTATTTTTGTGGCAATTAGCTCCAAATAACATATCAGACAGATACTCAATCCAAACAACCAAAAAAAAAAAATTGAAATGAAATACATGAAGAAATGTACTGGCATTAGAGAGCTCCATACCAGGTCATCATCTTCCAGGTTGTCTCCCCTTTCGCGGCTCTCTCTGAGGACCTTATTTTGTTCCTCCAGCTGAGCACACCTTTCCTTGGCAAAAGCTAAATCAGCTTTAACAGTTTTCAGCTCCCTAAGTAGTAGTTTAGCTTTGGCAGCCATCGCCATAGCAACCTGCAAAGCACAGACAAATTGTGCACTTTGAAATCTGAGCAATTCAACCTAGTTAGAATCTCCTCGTAGTTGTAACTTACTTATTTAGCTTTGATAATGAAGGCACATAAATTATCTGACTCGGACTTTAAACTGAATCAAACTACATAGTGGGAACCATTAAAAGGATTTAGCCATGCTCAACTTTATAGCTTAATAAGCATATTGGTGTACCCTAATATTCTGTGAGCGATCAATGCCATGATTTTTATCTAAGATGAAACCATACAAATTGAGGACAACCACACATGTAATTTGACTTAATAATTAATAGTGACACAGCTGCAACCTTACGTCGCGAGATGCCTTCAATTGAAGCTCCAGATCACCTTGCATCTGGGGCTGCACCGGTGACTGTACTGGAGGTTGCTGCCGTACAGTACTTTGGCTGTTCGTCTGGTTGTGCATGGTAGTACCAGCAGGCTTTTTCCTGATATGCTTGCGTGTTTCTTGGATGATATCAGCTGTTCGGTTCTCCACCTTCGTGAGGCCCTCCTATAAATGTGGATCAACATTGTCATAATGAATAGGTAAAAAAAAAACAGTAGAGGCGACATAAATTTCTATTAAGGAACAAAAAGAGTTTCCCACGTCGAAGAAAAACAAGGCAAGAGCAGGTGCACTTTTAATTCTACTTGCGCTTCAAACTAGCAATCTAGATTTCAGGGTAAATACAATTTAATATCCAAACCTTTCATTTTAAACAATATAATAGCCAAACTTTTTCGAAAACAATCTAATATCCAAATCGTCAACTTTCAGTTCGTTTAACCGTTAGTTGACACTTCAAAAAGCTTTGTTTAGGGGAAATTGTCACAATACAACTTTGTTTTCTTGTTTTGGCATTGCAGATGACTGAATATTTAGATATTCTATACCATCATGGTGGAGTCATGGACTTCTCGGGTTCGAAACTACGATATGTTGGTGGTTTTTTAGAGAAGATATCGATGGATATTGATGAAGTGTCGTACTTCGAACTTTTTTGAAGTGTCAACTAACGGTCAAACAGACAGAAAGTTGACGATTTGGATATTAGATTGTTTTCGAAAAAGTTTGGATATTATATTGTTTAAAATAAAAGGTTTGGATATTAAATTGTATTTACCCTAGATTTTAAGACAAAAACTTTGATGTAACAAGTACATGCATTAAACCTTAAGTACAATATCCGAGATAAACTAATTAAAATAACAAAACATCCTACTGTGGTTTCAGATTCGTCTCCCACAGCTACATAGGCGGCCAATCCATAATTAAGGAGTTGTTTGGTTTTTGGTGATAGTTAAATCGATGCATTGTCATCAATGCATGCATAATAATATACATGTATATAAGAAAATTGGTGTATTGTAGTTTACATCGTTTGGTTTATGTGATAGTTATTGTAGTGTTTAAATAAATAATATTACTTTTTGGGTGAAATGTCATTTTTACTCTCTGTTTTTAGTATAAAAAAGCAACACACATAAAAATGTAGGGACATAGTTGGAAGAAGAAAAAAGCATAACAATCTCAATCAAACAATCTCAACAATCTCAACCAAAACTTGAGATTTAACTATCACTTATTTTGAATGATAGTTTGTGTCACATCAAACAAACAATGCATGTATTGTTTGTGCAGAAAATTCAAAAAAACGATGGATTATGGACATTACATGCATTGTAACTATCCCAACCAAACTATCACCAAAACCTAACCCTAAGAGATACCGTTGGCTGAAAGATTTTATGTCAAAGATGCTAAATTGTAGATGAGATTAAGCAAAGCAAAAGCCACATTGGTCTTTTCTGTTAATAAAACAAGTGAATATCAGTTGCAGAAAGAAGAAAAATATGACTTGAAGAGTAGTTCCATGTAAGCACTCAAACCTCAACAGCATTGCCAATGTAGTTAAGGGAAGACGAAATTGCATTGAGCCCTTTGCGTAGCACAGGACCTTCTTTCTTTTTACGGTCGTCTTGCAGTGGCGGTTGGCGAGTATCACTCTGCAGCATCACGATTGGCATTAGAGAGAAAAAGAAAAGGCATTTCTACTCCAGCTTACTAAAATGTAGAACTTTGTTGACACAACACATAAAAACTATCAAGGAGCAACCACCAAATGTTAGAGAGCTCAGCAAAAAAGTATATGACCTTGGGTGAAGAGGTAGACGGTTCAGACAACGGCTGAGGATCCGGGGCAGGAGAGTGAGGTTGCTGGTGCTGTTGGGGCACGAAATCACGGTCTTGTTGGTACTGGGTTAGCGGGAACCGATTACGCTGCTGCCCATTTTCACTTTCATCGTCATCAACATCGTCATCGAGAAAGGATTTAGCTTTTCTAGCAAGAGAACCCCAAAAACCACCTGGTTTGGGATTGGGATTGGGATCGGGGTTGGGATTGATATTGCGATTGCGATTAGATTGGTTGAAGCTACTCATGGAAGTATAAGCGTGGGGATTGTGGGCGGGATTCTGTAACAAGGAAACTAAGAGTTGGGACCAGAATCGGGAACTCGGAAACCAAATCCCATAAAAGAAAATCGAAAACCCAGCAAGGAAAGGGAATGAAGATAATACCTTGGAAGCAGCGGCAGCAGAAGCATTGGCGGAGAAAGAAGGAGCGGATGAGGAAGAGGAAGGAGAAGGAGGCAAGGCGTAAGCGGAGGAAAGGGAGGAATCTCGGAGGGTTTGGGCGGCGGAGGATGCTCTGATGGCTTTGGAGGCAAGTCCGGTGGCAGTCGAAGTTGAATCTTGCGCTGCTCTTTCCTCATCTTCTCTCCCCTTTCCCTCATCCCTCTGATTCTCGTATGAATAATAGTAAGACGACGGCGACGGTGAGGGCTGTCCCCTTCTCCGATATGCCATACTGAATCTGCCTATCTCGCCTCCCGTCCCTTGAAGTTCAAATCATTTGCGGGATTGATCAAAATTTAAAATGTTTCCAAAATTTTGCAATCCAGTGAAAGGAAAGGAGAAAGAAAGAAATAAGAACAAAAATGAGTCGCTCGCCCCTTTCAATGGCCTGCTGACTTCCTTCTTCCCTCAAGTCAGCAGCACTCGATTCAGACACAGAGAGAGTATGACGTCAAGTTATGCACTCCTCCCCTGTCGTTCGGAATTCTGAATTTTTGATGAATTTAAAAAAATGGATACAAGTTTAATGTCTATTTTTTATTCAAATATTTTTCAGATAGTGTTATATTATTCAAATTTATCGAAATACTAAGAATTTGTCAAAGACTCAAATGTTAACTTTTAGTTAGCAATTTTGTTAGTAATATTGATTTGACAACATGATACTGACTTGAAAGATACACATGAAGGTCAACATTGCAAAATTTTAGTACTTTAACTAAGAAAATAGTTACAAAATTATTAACGATAATGTAAAAATGACTAATATTTTGATGCATTACGAAAGATTTGGCTAACTAATAGCATTTTAATAGGTTTGGATAATATAAAAGAATCTGAAAAATGTTTGGATAAAAAATAGACATTACCCTAAAACAAATGGATCCAAAGTCCCATAAAAAAATTAGGTATCAAAATATATTTTTTGAAGATTAATTTGTTTAAAAGTTGAAGTTTAGATATCAAATTATAAATATAAAACACATAGGTAGTAAGTTATAATTTTTTAGCAACTCATGTGTTAGGCACCTTTCGAGGGAAGGGCAGTTGGGTCAAAGATATTTTATGACTTAGCTATTCTTCTATCGCCAAGCGCTTCACACATCCCAAATGGATATGGAAGTAGAGAGAAAAAACTTAAAGAGAGAAAGTAGAGAAAAGTAGTAATCAATGTATATGGCTTGTATGCCTACTAGACCATTAATGTAATGGTCGGAGCCTGAAAATTTATGTCTTGTCTATGTACATTTCATCAGAAGGTGTCTAACACTCTAGTTTTTGTCCCTTGATGTTGGCTTCTTATTGGGCTTCCGCTTGTGTGATTTCTACATATTTTGGATTTGGTCCTTGACTCGCCAATACCGTCACACTAGAAAGTGGCCAAGTGTAACCACAAACTAATGCGTAGTATAGCGAGTTTAGCTTTAATTGTCAACCCGAGTCCTAGATGTGATGACTACTCCGTGAAGTTCTCGTTATTAGTAGTTTGAATGTAGTGAAGTTGTATCTAATCTAAGAAAACGCAAAGCAGTAAAGTTGTGATTCAAGTTCGAGAGAGGCCACCCGGATATGGTTCCCCCTAGATTGCAGGTAAGCCGAAGTGTAATTCACCAAGTTTAGATATAATGATAGTTATATTTTGGAAGGTTCTTATTCAGTCTGAAGTCTCGACTAAAGGTCTTCAGACCCTCCCAATCTGAATACCCGGCGGGGACTAACCTCCACCGGAATAAACAAACTGAGGCCATAACATGCAAAACCTCCTCTACTGGATCAAATCCAGTACAGAGCGGTGAACTGACTTCTCAACTAAAGTAGTCAATTCACCACCTTCAATCAAGGGTGCTCTATCAACCTATGTAGATATTCTCTTTCTAGGTCAAAGCATAAACTACAAGAATGTGATCAAGACTCATGCAGTTCTGAAATCATGCCTCAATTGAATATAATCAATATCAAAATGTCATGTACTTGGTTCATACAATCAACCTAACATACAACTCTAGGGTTCTTCATACCTAGGCGAGAGATGGAGTTTACTCCATGGAGAGAGAGGAAATCAACTTCATATGCAAAAATCATCTTGTAGAGGATAGAATTTAGCTTCTGGTTGTCAATTAGTGCTTCTCCAGGCTTCAATCGAGCTCTAATGGTATCAAAACTCGATCTAGATCACCTTGGAGGATGGGTTCGTCACTTTCTCTTTCTAACTCTCTATTTTCTACTCTAAAACTTAAATCCCCTCTTCACAAACCCGAAGTTGGGTTGAAAACCCATATTTGCCCAATTACACGGCCAACGCGTACATGTAGAATCTCGTGTCTGCCCGTGTAACTCCCAAAATGCGGTGTTCGGATTAGTTGCTCGTGGTCGATACACGGCCAGGATGTACGGCCATGTGGAATGCAGCCTTGCCCGTGTAACTATCGTAGAAAACCCGCATGGCCAAAGGGTGCCGTTACACGGTCATTACGACCCTGGTCGCGTAGTCCCAAGCGTACGACCAAACCACACGACCCGTAAAATTATGAGCAAGTCGCGTATTTTCCTCAGCTTTTCGTCAAATGTCCTAATTTCGTCCAATCGACCCCAAACTCGTGCACAAGCCTTCATTCACGTACTAGGACCTGAAATGTCACTAACAAGAACAAACTAACGTGAAATCGGTTTAAAACACGAGAAATGAGCCTCACACAGTATAAGAATGGTGCACAAATCATGAGCAAGTATCGATTCATCAAATCCCCTCACACTTAACCGTTTGCTTGTCCCCGAGCAAACCTGTCTCAAACCAATGCAATCTAGACCTCTACAGCAACATGCAACCCCGATCGTCGGTAGAGGACTTCCTAGATAATTTAGCAGCTTACGAGGTCAACGAGTCTTTGACTCGCTATGACACAACTCCTAACAATGACCAAGTGTAACCAATGAAAGGGACTGCAGTATAGTGGCTCAAGTAATAAATATCGAATTCACGGGTCTCTAGAGTTACTATTACTCAGCTTCAGTTCATTATCTAGCAAACCAGATTAAGATGAAAGAACTAAAACTACTCTAGCAAACTACAATTAAAGTTAATCTAATTACAGGTTGGGAACTCACTTAGGTATGATTCCCCCTAGCCACTAGCCAGATTAACGATTGATGAAAACGCACAAAACAGGCTTTTAACAGCCTGGGTTCGTGATCCCCGGTCAAAATACCCGGTCGGGTATTTAGGTAACCGGTCGGGTATCAACAAAATGCTCCTGGTCACTCTTCTGGGCAAAAGGGAAAATACCCGGTCGGGTATTTTTAGTACCGGTCGGGTATTTTTGGTTCACGACCGGGGGGCCTTCTGTTGCTGCCAAAAATCCCCTATCAGATGGCCAAAAATACCCGGTAGGGTATTATGGTCGGGTATTTTGCAGTTCCGGGTCCCCTATCTTTGATTCTTCGTTTCTCCCACGTTCGGACTCCAAATCAGGTGCCGTTTGATGCCAGACGCTCGTAGTCTCGTCCTCTTTCTTCTCATGACAAGATTACATGATTATATGGTCATAAACTGAGGTAGAAATCCATTCTTCTTCAAGTCATACCCGAGTTTCTTCCCCCGAGTCGCCAATTGATCTCCGATTGACTTGAAACTTGCGCCTACGCTTCACTTTATGTGCTAGGACCTGAAATGTGACAAAAGAACACAACCTAGCGTAAAATAGGCCAAAGAAGTGATAATGCAAGCTTAAACGATCAAGAAACAAAGGGGAAAACATGTGCAAATATCGAGTCATCAAATCCCCCCACACTTAACCGTTTGCTTGTCCCCAAGCAAACCTAACTCAAACCAATGCAACTCTCCAGAACTCTATAGCAACACACACCCTCGATCGTTGATAGAGGATTTTCTAGATCATTTAGCAGCTTACGAGGTCAACCGACGCACAAGTCATCTCATAGCTTCTTCGGCGAGAACGCTATTCTGGAGTCGACATCATGGTAAATAGTTATCAGAGGACAGATGAATCGTGGACGAAGAGACTCTCAAAAACAAAAGATCATGAACTCACATTTTTCAAGGTGCTCTTATTTTCTTTTTGAAGACGGTTGGAACCCCTTTTTTTCCTTTTCTTTTGTTCTCTTTTTTTTCTTTTTTTTTTCCCCAAGGGTTCCAACCCGATTTTCAGAAAACGGGGCTCCCACCTAGCAAAGGTTTTGCGGGAACCCGGTTCTTACCGGCCATGCCGGGAGCGAATGTCTCGAGCCTCGTGCGGGGGAAAGATATGTAAGGGGGCTGGAGGTAGTAGGTGGAAATTGGGAACGGATTCCCGTCTCCCCTTACACACTTTCGCCCTATTCGCACGGGAGACGCTATTGTAAAGCACATTTTCGAGCACCTTTTATTTCAAAACATGATACAAGAGTCCATGACAGGTAGAGAGTCCACAACACCACACCATTCAAGGGTCCTAAGATCACTAATTCACACAATCAACCAACACAATATGAAGAAGAAACGAGACTTCTTAAATGCATCAACATCCTCCATAGTGCTACACTACCTCCCTAGGTTGCACATTACTATAGAGACTGTCAATTCAAAGCATACTGAGCAGGCAATTGCAAGGAACACGTACTTGGAGCCCTCAAATCGAAATTTGGACAGTGGACTAGGCTCCAAGCACACAAACAGCCAAACATTCACACGCATACATAATCGAACATCCCCCCACACTTAAGCACGACATTGTCCTCAATGGAGGAAAGATAAGGAGGGTAGAACGAAGTTACCAGATCAAGGGTGAATGATGGTGGACGGGCAGGCGGTGCATTCCAGGAGGAGAGAGTAGTCGAAACACAAACACCACACAAAATCTCACAAAGGTTGAGTTATTGACTCTAAAATCAAAGAACAAAACTGACTCAACCGAAGAAAATAGGAAAGAAATGCAAACCGACTGGTTGGGTTGCCTCCCAACAAGCGCTTCTTTCACGTCGTGAGCCGGACGATGGCTCCTAAGTTTCGGTCCACCCCAAAACCTCCTTGAAGTTGAGGTTCTCGTCAATGAGGTGGAGTCTCAAGTCACGAGCATGTGGTATGACAGGTGATGGAAGCTCGTGCACTTGATGTGGATGAAGTCTCCACCCCCGAGACCTCTTCTTCTCTTCTCTCGTCTCATTGCCCCAAACCAGATATGACAGCATCGATTGACCACCATCGCGTCCACCAAGAGGGACCGATGTCGATGTGGCCTTGGTCTGGCAAAGAGACACTGCAAATGGGTCCTTGCTAAGCAGTTCCTCGAAGTTTGGTGGAGATATCACATGTAACTCATGGCCGGTGCAAGCCTCTTCCACCTCAACTTCGTCCTCAGCCTGGACGCCAATTGCTTCTTCAACCTCCCTTCCTTGTTCATGTGGTATCACCCCTGGGAAATGATCAAGAACTCCTCTGCTTCACTTTGTCATCCTCCACAACTTCTTTCTGCACCCTTTCT